GTAGAATGATAGCGCTATTTCCGACTCCAGACCAAGTAGAGGACGGTCTGAAGTCTTTGAGAGGATGTAGTCATGACGCTTACAATGATAACCCTATTTCCGACTCCAGACCAAGGGAGGACGGTCTGAAGTCTTTGAGAGGATGTAGACACGACGCATACAATGATAACCCTATTTCCGACTTCAGACCAAGTAGAGGACGGTCTGAAGTCTATGAGAGGATGTAGTCATGACGCGTTGAATGATAGCGCTATTTCCGACTCCAGACCAAGTAGAGGACGGTCTGAAGTCTTTGAGAGGATGTAGACATGACGCGTAAAATGATAGCGCTATTTCCGACTCCAGACCAAGTAGAGGAAGGTCTGAAGTCTTTGAGAGGATGTAGACATGACGCGTAGAATGATAGGGCTATTTCCGACTCCAGACCAAGTAGAGGACGGTCTGAAGTCTATGAGAGGATGTAGACATGACGTATACAATGATAACCCTATTTCCGACTCCAGGCCAAGTAGAGGACGGTCTGAAGTCTATGAGAGGATGTAGTCATGACGCATACAATGATGGCGCTATTTCCGACTCCAGACCAAATAGAGGACGGTCTGAAGTCTATGAGAGGATGTTGTCATGACGCGTAGAATTATAGCGCTATTTCCGACTCCAGACCAAGTAGAGGACGGTCTGAAGTCTTTGAGAGGATGTAGTCATGACGCTTACAGTGATAACCCTATTTCCGACTCCAGACCAAGTAGAGGGCGGTCTGAAGTCTTTGAGAGGATGTAGACATGACGCATACAATGATAACCCTATTTCCGACTCCAGACCAAGTAGAGGACGGTCTGAAGTCTATGAGAGGATGTAGTCATGACGCGTAGAACTATAGCGCTATTTCCGACTCCAGACCAAGTAGAGGACGGTCTGAAGTCTTTGAGAGGATGTAGTCATGACGCTTACAATGATAACCCTATTTCCGACTCCAGACCAAGGGAGGACGGTCTGAAGTCTTTGAGAGGATGTAGACACGACGCATACAATGATAACCCTATTTCCGACTTCAGACCAAGTAGAGGAAGGTCTGAAGTCTATGAGAGGATGTAGTCATGACGCGTAGAATTATAGCGCTATTTCCGACTCCAGACCAAGTAGAGGAAGGTCTGAAGTCTATGAGAGGATGTAGACATGACGCGTAGAATGATAGCGCTATTTCCGACTCCAGACCAAGTAGAGGACGGTCTGAAGTCTATGAGAGGATGTAGTCATGACGCGTAGAATGATAGCGCTATTACCGACTCCAGACCAAGTAGAGGAAGGTCTGAAGTCTATGAGAGGATGTAGACATGATGCGTAGAATTATAGCGCTATTTCCGACTCCAGACCAAGTAGAGGACGGTCTGAAGTCTATGAGAGGATGTAGTCATGACGCGTAGAATGATAGCGCTATTTCCGACTCCAGACCAAGTAGAGGACGGTCTGAAGTCTTTGAGAGGATGTAGTCATGACGCTTACAATGATAACCCTATTTCCGACTCCAGACCAAGGGAGGACGGTCTGAAGTCTTTGAGAGGATGTAGACACGACGCATACAATGATAACCCTATTTCCGACTTCAGACCAAGTAGAGGACGGTCTGAAGTCTATGAGAGGATGTAGTCATGACGCGTTGAATGATAGCGCTATTTCCGACTCCAGACCAAGTAGAGGACGGTCTGAAGTCTTTGAGAGGATGTAGACATGACGCGTAAAATGATAGCGCTATTTCCGACTCCAGACCAAGTAGAGGAAGGTCTGAAGTCTTTGAGAGGATGTAGACATGACGCGTAGAATGATAGGGCTATTTCCGACTCCAGACCAAGTAGAGGACGGTCTGAAGTCTATGAGAGGATGTAGACATGACGTATACAATGATAACCCTATTTCCGACTCCAGGCCAAGTAGAGGACGGTCTGAAGTCTATGAGAGGATGTAGTCATGACGCATACAATGATGGCGCTATTTCCGACTCCAGACCAAATAGAGGACGGTCTGAAGTCTATGAGAGGATGTTGTCATGACGCGTAGAATTATAGCGCTATTTCCGACTCCAGACCAAGTAGAGGACGGTCTGAAGTCTTTGAGAGGATGTAGCCATGACGCTTACAGTGATAACCCTATTTCCGACTCCAGACCAAGTAGAGGACGGTCTGAAGTCTTTGAGAGGATGTAGACATGACGCATACAATGATAACCCTATTTCCGACTCCAGACCAAGTAGAGGACGGTCTGAAGTCTATGAGAGGATGTAGTCATGACGCGTAGAATTATAGCGCTATTTCCGACTCCAGACCAAGTAGAGGACGGTCTGAAGTCTTTGAGAGGATGTAGTCATGACGCTTACAATGATAACCCTATTTCCGACTCCAGACCAAGGGAGGACGGTCTGAAGTCTTTGAGAGGATGTAGACACGACGCATACAATGATAACCCTATTTCCGACTTCAGACCAAGTAGAGGACGGTCTGAAGTCTATGAGAGGATGTAGTCATGACGCGTAGAATTATAGCGCTATTTCCGACTCCAGACCAAGTAGAGGAAGGTCTGAAGTCTATGAGAGGATGTAGACATGACGCGTAGAATGATAGCGCTATTTCCGACTCCAGACCAAGTAGAGGACGGTCTGAAGTCTATGAGAGGATGTAGTCATGACGCGTAGAATGATAGCGCTATTTCCGACTCCAGACCAAGTAGAGGAAGGTCTGAAGTCTATGAGAGGATGTAGTCATCACGCGTTGAATGATAGCGCTATTTCCGACTCCAGACCAAGTAGAGGACGGTCTGAAGTCTTTGAGAGGATGTAGACATGACGCGTAAAATGATAGCGCTATTTCCGACTCCAGACCAAGTAGAGGAAGGTCTGAAGTCTATGAGAGGATGTAGACATGACGCGTAGAATGATAGCGCTATTTCCGACTCCAGACCAAGTAGAGGACGGTCTGAAGTCTATCAGAGGATGTAGACATGACGTATACAATGATAACCCTATTTCCGACTCCAGGCCAAGTAGAGGACGGTCTGAAGTCTATGAGAGGATGTAGTCATGACGCATACAATGATAGCGCTAATTCCGACTCCAGACCAAATAGAGGACGGTCTGAAGTCTATCAGAGGATGTTGTCATAACGCGTAGAATTATAGCGCTATTTCCGACTCCAGACCAAGTAGAGGACGGTCCGAAGTCTTTGAGAGGATGTAGTCATGACGCTTACAGTGATAACCCTATTTCCGACTCCAGACCAAGTAGAGGACGGTCTGAAGTCTTTGAGAGGATGTAGACATGACGCATACAATGATAACCCTATTTCCGACTCCAGACCAAGTAGAGGACGGTCTGAAGTCTATGAGAGGATGTAGTCATGACGCGTAGAATTATAGCGCTATTTTCGACTCCAGACCAAGTAGAGGACGGTCTGAAGTCTATGAGAGGATGTAGTCATGACGCGTAGAATTATAGCGCTATTTCCGACTCCAGACCAAGTAGAGGACGGTCTGAAGTCTTTGAGAGGATGTAGTCATGACGCTTACAATGATAACCCTATTTCCGACTCCAGACCAAGGGAGGACGGTCTGAAGTCTTTGAGAGGATGTAGTCATGACGCATACAATGATAACCCTATTTCCGACTTCAGACCAAGTAGAGGACGGTCTGAAGTCTATGAGAAGATGTAGTCATGACGCGTAGAATTATAGCGCTATTTCCGACTCCAGACCAAGTAGAGGACGGTCTGAAGTCTTTGAGAGGATGTAGACATGACGCATACAATGATAACCCTATTTCCGACTCCAGACCAAGTAGAGGAAGGTCTGAAGTCTATGAGAGGATGTAGACATGACGTATACAATGATAACCCTATTTCCGACTCCAGGCCAAGTAGAGGACGGTCTGAAGTCTATGAGAGGATGTAGTCATGACGCATACAATGATAGCGCTATTTCCGACTCCAGACCAAATAGAGGACGGTCTGAAGTCTATGAGAGGATGTTGTCATGACGCGTAGAATTATAGCGCTATTTCCGACTCCAGACCAAGTAGAGGACGGTCCGAAGTCTTTGAGAGGATGTAGTCATGACGCTTACAGTGATAACCCTATTTCCGACTCCAGACCAAGTAGAGGACGGTCTGAAGTCTTTGAGAGGATGTAGACATGACGCATACAATGATAACCCTATTTCCGACTCCAGACCAAGTAGAGGACGGTCTGAAGTCTATGAGAGGATGTAGTCATGACGCGTAGAATTATAGCGCTATTTTCGACTCCAGACCAAGTAGAGGACGGTCTGAAGTCTATGAGAGGATGTAGTCATGACGCGTAGAATTATAGCCCTATTTCCGACTCCAGACCAAGTAGAGGACGGTCTGAAGTCTTTGAGAGGATGTAGTCATGACGCTTACAATGATAACCCTATTTCCGACTCCAGACCAAGGGAGGACGGTCTGAAGTCTTTGAGAGGATGTAGACACGACGCATACAATGATAACCCTATTTCCGACTTCAGACCAAGTAGAGGACGGTCTGAAGTCTATGAGAGGATGTAGTCATGACGCGTAGAATTATAGCGCTATTTCCGACTCCAGACCAAGTAGAGGACGGTCTGAAGTCTTTGAGAGGATGTAGACATGACGCATACAATGATAACCCTATTTCCGACTCCAGACCAAGTAGAGGAAGGTCTGAAGTCTATGAGAGGATGTAGTCATGACGCGTAGAATGATAGCGCTATTTCCGACTCCAGACCAAGTAGAGGACGGTCTGAAGTCTTTGAGAGGATGTAGACATGACGCGTACAATGATAACCCTATTTCCGACTCCAGACCAAGTAGAGGACGGTCTGAAGTCTTTGAGAGGATTTAACATGACGCATACAAAAATAACCCTATTTCCGACTCCAGACCAAGTAGAGGACGGTCTGAAGTCTATGAGAGGATGTAGTCATGACGTATACAATGATAACCCTATTTCTGACTCCAGACCAAGTAGGGGAAGACCTGAAGTCTTTGAGAGAGGATGTAGACAGGCAGAACCAAAGCATGCGTAAGTATGCTTTATACAGTGAAATCCTGCTACTCCGGACATCCCACATTGAAACATGTTAATTCGAATGATTCACCGTCCGGTTTAACGAAGCTTTACTGTGTATCACTATTCCTTCACTGTGTGTTCACTAAACAATGTTTCACCGCTACGAGTATTGTAAGTCTAGTGTTTGAGTAACGATTGCCTTAACGCCATGGTCGCTTTTTTGACGACGGATTTCCATATTGGTCATAACAATATGCACAAACCAACAAAGACTTAGGGTGTTCAGAACACGTCGACAGTATTTCCATATACACCTGTATGTGCGGCTGTGTGGAAGCTAAATTTCACTTAATTATGTCCATTATATGTAAGAGACTGCGAACATTTGATTAAATCTCTAACCGTTAGCACCCAGTCAGAAATTCGTATTGGTCCTTCTAAGTTGAAGGTATGGCGTTGTATGGTTTCAGTGAGAATGGATCTGTTTGCGAAGACGATGTTACAACGTTTGCTGGTTTTGGAAAGCAAACATAAAGGCGACAACACAAGGAAAGGGATTGAGCAAGGTATGCACATCTGATTTATATTACATACGATCATTATCATTACTCCTTTCAGTTTGCTTTAGAATTTGTCAATATACATGGCAAAAAGGAAGTCTTGTCTAATATGAGTCCTCATCTTGCCCGAAACCGGACAGTTACCCCAACACATCAGTGTCTAACGCTGTCGCTGTCTTAGGTCCAATGGGGAACCGGATGGAAAATACATCTGGCGCGTATGAACAAGCATACGGTTCCCGTGGCCATGAGTCATTTGCCATCACTTGACAATAGCTGACGGACGGGGGTTTCAGTCTCGCCCTTTGGACCCGCGTTGTACACGTCGTTTTTCTAGCAGTTCGTAATGCTCACTATACAACATATTTTATCACACCTGCATGTCAGAATTATGAGATCTGATTGGTACACGTGAACGTGAAAAAATACTATGTATCCCGTCTTGGAGGGAAATAAATTTCTCAGCTGGTGAATACATCCCTTATACCCCACTACGAGCAAGACAGGATGCACGTGGATTTCTGAGAGACAGGATGAATCCCCCATATCCCGCTTCCAAGCAAAAGCCGCACGCTTTTTGTCGAGTCATTGAAAATCTCGTGACATAGCACAAGCTGACCTCCGCTCAAACGAAGAACTGTTTTCTATCAATTTTGAACTTGTTTTAATTTTTACAATGTCACATTAAAACATGTCGGTAAGATAAATTTGTTGTAGCAGGATAACAAGAGGTACATGGGGTCTTATGCGTCCCTCGCTTATAACACTCGCCTCCGGTTCGAGGAATAAGACCTAGCGCGGGACGCATTAAACCCCATATACCCCTCGTGATCCTTCTACAACTTATAATAACTGCTGTATGAACCTTGGCTAGTATTGGGATAACTGTTGTACTACTGCCGTGGTGTCTTCTGATTCACCCTGGGATACAGTTGGGGGTCTGTTGTAAAAACGGGGTAACTACTTTATAAACTTGGGCTTTTGTCCGGATAACTGTTGTATAAACCACGGCTACTGTCTGGATAACTGTTGTATAAACCACGGCTACTGTCTGGATAACTGTTGTATAAACCACGGCTTCTATCGGGATAACTGTTGTATAAACCACGGCTACTGTCGGAATAACTGGTGTATAAACCACGGCTACTGTCGGGATAACTGTTGTATAAACCTTAGCTATAGTCGGGGTAACTTTTTTATAAGCCTGGGCTACAGTCGGGGTAACTTCTTTATAAGCCTGGGATACAGTCGGGGTAACTTCTTTATAAGCCTGGGCTACAGTCGGGGTAACTACTTTATAAGCCTGGGATACAGTCGGGGTAACTACTTTATAAGCCTGGGGTAACTACTTTATAAGCCTGGGCTACAGTCGGTATAACTACTTTATAGTCTGGGCTACAGTCGGAGTAACTACTTTATAGTCTGGGCTACAGTCGGGGTAACTACTTTATAAGCCTGGGCTACAGTCGGGGTAACTACTTTATAGTCTGGGCTACAGTCGGGGTAACTACTTTATAAGCCTGGGATACAGTCGGTATAACTACTTTATAGCCTGGGCTACAGTCGGGGTAACTACTTTATAGTCTGGGCTACAGTCGGGGTAACTACTTTATAGCCTGGGCTACAGTCGGGGTAACTACTTTATAGTCTGGGCTACAGTCGGGGTAACTACTTTATAAGCCTGGGATTCAGTCGGGGTAACTACTTTATAGTCTGGGCTACAGTCGGGTAACTACTTTATAGCCTGGGCTACAGTCGGGGTAACTACTTTATAGTCTGGGCTACAGTCGGGGTAACTACTTTATAAGCCTGGGATACAGTCGGGAACCGGAGAAAGCAAAAGGTACGAAACATGAGGTTGACTATTCGTGAAATGCAATATTGTAACATTTTAATGCTCACTTAACTGAAACACTGTAGATAGCGACCCAAATATTGTTTAAAGCGGAGGTACAACAAGTCACTCACTAACACCTTGCAGTATCCTCCATCTGTTCGACGACACCGCCACCACCACGAGAGGGAGCCAGCGTCAATAAAACACTCACAGACAACGGCCTTGTTGCAAAGTACTCGTGTCGTTCTGGCTACATCAACATCGGCGGTAACGTCCTCAAGTCTACGTGCGACGCCGCGGAGAATTGGTCACAAGTCGACATTTCCTGCAACAACCGTGAGTTTTATATAGCAAAACCTCGTTAACCCGGACGATACCGGTACCAGTGAAAATCCGAATATTTTAAGGGATAATTGTAAAGTAGTGTTAACCCTGTTACAATGAAGGCGTTCCCCAAAGTGAAGACGGGTGTGCGGATTAACGAGTTTTCGCTGAGCTTTATACGTGTATGCTACTGGGCGAAGGGTCCGTCCCTCTGTTCTAGGTACGAGTGAGTGAGTATGCTTTTGCCCCATTTTAGCAATATTCCAGCAACATCACGGCGGGGGACACCAGAAACGGGCTTCACACATTTTACCCATGTCGGGATTCGAACCCGGGTCTTCAACGTGACGAGCGAACGCTTTAACCACTAGGCTACCCGACCGTCCCCCTAGGTACGATGGGCGTCACGGTATTACTTGAGACGATGTCGATACAATTATATTGTCATAATACAGCAGATAACGTTAAAACGCCAAATATCTTAACGATTTCCATGTATCGGGGCTGTTTCGGTTATTATACTTTGAATTATTTTTTATGATGCACACAGTTACGATTTTGTATCCAAGCACGAAATTAATATCGTGTATCGTGTCGTGGGCACTACGACGAATTGTAACACCCCAAACTGTGAGTGAGTTGGGTTTAACGCCGCTTTTAACAGTATTCCAGTTATATCACGGCGTGTCAGCTTAATGTGGGAGGAAAGCCCCAAATGATGCAGGTCTCAGACGTTTACCACTTCGTTGAAGCCAACGAACACGGGTATGGTGCTGACAAACCTAGAAACAGAATCGGGGCGAACCGGGATTCGAACCCACAATCATAGGTTTCTGGCGTACCCAAGGGACGCAACTCTGCACAACGAATCGCGGCGCCATTGAGGACTGGGCCACCCGTAACCCCCAACCCAAACTGGTTCAGGGAAAGCTGGTGTGAGTTTACTGTCTCGTTTTAGGTAACTGTATATAAAAACTAAGAATAACCAAGTAACCAGATCATTGTAAGGGAATTTAAAGAGAGACAGTGCTCCGCCAGGTTCAATATTTGAGTCAAGCGTCTGTAACATGTGCCACGTATAAGACTGGGGCATTATCTCAGTCGTGATCAAGGGTTAGATTGATAAACATCGTGACATTTGGATTACTTGAGTCAGATCTCCTGGGGATCCCGAGCTGATTTGACGGTTCTATATTTGTTTCACATTGCCTCTTTATCACAAGATAGTTTGAAGTTGAGGCTCATATTCATCTTCATATTATTCTACCTGACTTGCGTGTCATCGTACCCCGACGGCAAGGGACTTTGCCCATAATATCAACCACTGGTTTGCTTGGCCCTGGTTATTTACAGGCCGCCGTCATAGAGCTGGGATATTGAATCATATGAATATAATCCCCTTTTCTCAATATATGTATATCATCTTCTTGTCTATATCAAAAAAATATTATCATCTTGTTTATATGAATATTGTCTTCTTTTCGTGGTAGTCACCACATGCTATCATCGGATCGGGAGCAGGCTAGTGTACGGGGGGACGACAGCAAATACCTGGTCAGGGCGCACCTGCCAAAAATGGCGCAAGAAACGTCCGCACAGGCATGGATACGGCCAAGATATTAACTTCTCCCGAACGTCCTTGGCTGGTGCTGAGAGCATCAAAGACGTGTCCAACTTCTGTCGTGACCCAGGAGCAATGAAAGGGTCGGGGAAGCTATGGTGCTACACAACCGACCCCGACAAACGCTGGGAGGAGTGTAACATCCCCAAGTGCGAGACGGCATCCACGAGTGTACCTTGACCTGAGCCATCAGCCGGCATTATCGGAATAATAAATCTTTGACGTCAGGTTACAGTTTTTGTCTTCTGTTTAAAGCAATTTGATTGTATCTATTACCTCTCGCAGAAACATAATCTAAATACATGCTCTTCCTGTTACGTGTTGATTCCCAAATTGTAACAGGAATGTTAACCCTGAAATCGATACGTACAGAACTAGATTGTGTAATCAGTAAATAACCACACAGGATCAATGAACAACCAACAAATCACATAGAAACACACAGGATTTGGTTTACAATCATAAAAGGCAGTACAGTGGATCAAATATGTAAGTTGCCAATGAATAATAAGCTCGATTAAATGTCCTGTAATTGTCACAGTAGATAAAGTTGACAAATGTTATATTTGCCTTAACACTTTCTGACTATACAGATTCTCGTACTTTTGGGGGGTTGGGTCCCGCCCGGGATTCGAACCCACACTGCCAGAGCGAGGCACCCGATCGCCAGCACACAAAGTCAGCGATCTATCCAACTCAGCCACCGAGGCTTCCAGAAAAATGAAAGTCCGACAACTGGTAGTCTAGATCACTTACTTTGAGTACCCCTCTGACAAGTGTAAATTGGCACGGCTCCCATGGCCGAAAGCTGTGAACACACAATGCCATTAGGAAAGTGGTCAAATATAACATTTGTTACATTCTTTGTGCTGCCACCTACAATCTACACTACTGCCTTTGCTTGATAGTGATTCATAAACACATGCTCATGATATAGTGGGAATCGTATAAGATTTCTTTAATAAGTGAAACGAAAATGTTTTTTTGTCGCTCTCGATTATATCATAGTCAGCAATAGTCCCGCTGTGTCACGGCAGACTTTCCCTCCACAATAAACTGACCAGTGAAAGAACAGAAATACTTTTTAAAAGCAGCGTTAAACCCAACTTACTCATTCACTCACTCCGGGTGTTGGCCTCTTTCTCTGAGTCATCTGTTAAACGCATCAACAGCCTTCTGGTGGTTTGCAAAACAGCCGATATTTGCGGTATGGAAACACGTTCAATAAAAAATGACAGGAATAAAAGACAACGTTTTTAAACTTCAGCCGTAAATATACCACATGCGTGAAAGGGGAAAGAGTAGAGGAAGAGTTAAAATTTAACGTCGCATCCGCATTATCTGACCCATATAGCGACGAGAACAAGTTGACACACATACAATTGAGTCCTCGACACAAAGTTATATTTAAAAACAAATCTGTCAAACATATTTCGGTTCAACAATATTATTTACAACTATTTAACACACGGGCTATAGGCCACCAGTAACCGAACCTAGGTCACCTGACTGGAGATCATAGGGACTTACGGTGCCTCAACTTCCTGCACGATACCCCAGGAGTCATCACTTCAGCTACTGGTGGTTATGCACAATATGAGCAAGTATTGAAACATTCACAGCAGTGGGTTGGCTTAAAACACTTGTTTATGATTGTTACATAGATTATGATAGGAATTATGTGTCACACAGGGATTCAATCATTTTACCGTAGTTTAACCTCCAAATCCTGCAATTCTGCTCAGGACTTTGCAAGCCATCTTTCACAAGTGGGTCTGCTATCTCATTTCAATGCAGACCATTATGAGCTGGAATCCACGCAATAACACACGTAATATACTTTGAGTAAAAAATGCATCCAGCTTTAATATTCCATAAACAATGTCACTTCGTGAACCATTGTTAATAGATTCTGTAGTCAGAAAATATAACTTCCTCACGATCATATTAATTAGCTCACCTTGAGCTTGAAGAATAGCTATCAGTTCAGCAGCCAATACTTAGAGATGGTCATATAACCTGAATACACTTGAGATGTAAAACTCTGAAATCCAATATGCCCCAGCAATTCGAACCAAGGCCGAATCCTTTGAGACACCATTAAGAACGTGTGTGAAGTTTGCATAATGTTAAGTAAAAACATCTTGAGATATAGCTTTTATAACATTTGGACTCATTCTTTTGTTAATGGTTGAATTCATATTGTAACAAAGCCCAGATTTCAAAAGCAACCAAGGAGCAGTATCTGGGGGTGCAGAGGAACCCTATTGAAGGCTTGTTCCCTTGCTGAAATAGGATTTGTTTGTTTGTTTGTTTAACGCCGCACTCAGGCAATATTCCCGCTATATGAAGGCGGTCTGTAAATAATCGAGTCTGGACCAGACAATCCAGTGATTGATATCATGAGAATCGATCCACACAATTGATATGCAAAAACTGAAATAACCTTCATTTTAAATACTTATCTGCGGCCAAAGGAATGTCTCTAGAACACAGATAACGTCTGGAAACTTAGAATTATTTGATATGAATTGTTTAAGATTATCGCCATGGTCTACCATACTTTGAGTACCAAGGCAAAACAGTTTGGTAGACAAGAGTGTTAGCCATTATTCCGTTTCGACAAGTAAACTGTTCAAAATATATTTAGTGACATCAAGCAGTAGATTAGTTTCAGTAGGCGATTCGATCTATTTGTTCCTCCTTGCTGGTCGCTTTGAAGCAGCCATTACTGTCCGCTAATGCAGACGTGTGAGAGGTTACAGGAGTGATCTTGACAATGCGAGTGGCTTCCACATACGAGATTATTTTTTCAACCCGGACTCGCTGAATGGACACTGCTTCCTTATATTGTTCACAGCCTCGGTACAGATTACAGTGAATGCTCCATAATTTCGACACTTGGACGCACCATCAACCTTATAATCCCCACTACCTCTTGTACATACTGGACTTTTACTCTTGCTCCGCGAAGACACGTGGCCCAGCTGTTGACAATTGTAAGACCTAAATGCTGGGGGTACGTAAAGGCGGACAGGAAATGATTGAAAGTACACATTTATGTGTTCAGGAAGACGAGAAGTGTCAAACGTCAGTAAAATACTTCTTAAATACTGTGAAAAGAAATCCATTGAGTTAGATAACAATTAGCAATTAATCAACGTAGTATCGGTTAACCCTTTGAACAAAGTATGTTGTTTTTACATCGGCACTTCACGCAAGGATATGAGTGTATTCCCTTTTTTTAGAAAACCTAGACATGTAAACACTCACTTTTGACATATCCACCGTGCAAGATAACAGTGATTAATCAATCAATGTATTTTCTGTTAATCCTTTGATGACTACGAACGATCCGCTGATTTACAAAAAAGTAAATCAACTGATCATTGATCTCTTGCTGGGTTGCCACGTGCATATTGCATAACACACATTTCACCTCACTTCCAACCTGGATTTAGATTAAATAATTACAATAAATGAAAAATGGGAAGCTTCCTCAGGTATTCGGAGTGGTGCTACCACTAATTATACCTGTAATAAATTCATTAACTGAGCATCAAGTGAATGACGACAAATACACAAGTGTAGGGTTATACCAGAAAACGTGGAGGACAACAAGGGTGTAGTAATCGTATTATCGACGCAATCCGAAATCCGAAATCCGAAAATGCCTTCACTGCATTGATACTTTTTTTTAACTATTACAATCAGGGGTACTTCCAAATGACGACAACCGATGAGCTCTGTCGTTCTTTTTGTCTGTTTGTTTAGGCTGAAAAAATTAATTAACATGCGCCCTTTGTCGAAATCTTTATAGATCACGGTTAACCAATCAGTGTTCAAAAAAGGGTAAAACAGATATTGCCTCCAAGTTTATTTTGCTGTCCTTGCAGACGGTAGCCCAGTCTCTTGTCACGCTCAGTTGCGTTGCGTATCATCCGGGTACTCACGGGCAAAAAACAATAACAAAGGCAACAACCAGTCCCGGGGAATTGCTTTCGATCAGTGCCCCTTTAACATTCCACACTGCAGCCTTTTTATAAGAAAGTGAGAAAGATTACTTAAGATTGAGTGACACATGACAGGCCGTTCCTGCATTATATTGCCTGCCAGGAATGAGACAGGTGCATCAAATTTTCACCAGAGAGTATATAATAAATTGTTGAATTATCATTAGATAAGGTTGAGAATTAATTGTGTTTTCTCAATACATCTTAGACTGGTGAGTCGTCTGTTAGCCCAGCTAGAGTTAGAGGATTACCAGTCTGCTCATATTGAGCTATTTTGTACTGTTCCCCATAGTTGGAAAGTGTGTCGTCTACTACCCCAGCTGGAGCCATCTGGTAACAATCAATCACAAACTTCCCAAAGCCACTAAAAAAACAAAAATCCATCATAAAACAAAAACATTTGACAGAGTAATAACTAAACTACAAACAGGCCACACTAAGTTAAACTCCCACCTTCACCAAATTAAAAAAAACACAAAACCGTTAAATGCCCCCACTGCAACTTAAAAAAACCCGCCTGAACACGTAATACTATTTTGCACACATTACCAGCAACACAGAACAACACTCCAATCCACACTAAATTGCAACAATCAAATGACACTAGAAACGGTACTCTACCCCCTATGCATGGCATATTTCAAAATTCCAAATTTGTTCTCCAAATTAAGTAAGCAACCCTAAAAGCCCCACCTAGGTTGCCTCACCTTTTCGGACATACCCTCTTCGACCAATCATCAAATGGCCTGGCGGGCCCGTGCGCGAAATACGCATATGTCGGAAAGCGCACGTTAAGTTCCTAATTTAAGTAAGTAAGCATTAGATAAGGTTGAGAATTAATTGTGTTTTTTCAATACATCTTATACAGGTGAGTCGTCTGCTAGCCCAGCTAGAGTTCGAGGATAACATTTAGCATAGTTGGAAAGTGTGTCGTCTACCACCCCAGCTGGAGCCATCTGGTTACAATCAATCACAAACCGCCAGTCACCCACTCGCCGATAGCCCCGACAGCTGAATGTCCTCCTTTTTTTCACAGCGGCGGTACAGGAGCATATATCCAATGTCATACAATACAGAATAATACATCAAGGTGGCAGTTTCCATGTAAAGATTAAGTATTTCTATGGTACTTAAAGATATGTACAATAAATCTTGCTAACTGTTTTTAATCTATAATCCTTTGGGAAGATAACAGTGGAAAATTCTGGAAATGG